CGACATACTGACCTCATCTTTGGCCATTCACCCAGAAGTGGACTTGCTGGATCTAGGGAGGTTGTATTGGAAACATGTTTTTTAGATTTGGAAGGGAAAACTATGTTTTTGTGGAAGAAGAGGCCTTTCTTGCATTGGCGTTTTCCCAGCACCATGGGTTTTCTGTCCGGGGGGGGACAATGGCATCCTCACCTGGCCTTCCTGGACCCTGGGCCAGATTATATCGCGTCGCTGCCGACACCCGGGTCCCACTTCCCACCCCCCAGCACCTGGAACCCATGTGGTCTGCCGGGCACACCAGCGCCCTTGTGCTCTAAGACTGCACCAGCCCCCACCAGCCTGGCCACACTGCGACACAATAGCACCCCTGGCTGCGAGTGGCAGGCCAGTGCTTCCTCCTCGGATATATAATAGCACTAACCGGATATTTTTAGATGGGCTTTGAAAAGTCACAGTGTGCTCAGGCCGCATACCAGACGCATGAGGTCATCTGTCGGGGCCTCCGTGCTTAGGTAATTGGCTCACGCAGAACCCGAAGGCCGGCCTTGGGCCTGCAGGGAGGAGGGCACCCCGTGTTCCAGAGGCATCTCTAGGGCACAGGCCTGTCTGTGGAGCAAAAGTCGCTGCAGACTTGACTCAAGTTTAAGGGTGAGCCTTTGGGGTGTGGATATGCCTTGGATGCCTTGTGGTGGGCTGCAGACCAGGGCGCTGCAGGACCTGACTCAGACAGACCTGTTTCTCACTGCAGGCGCCCCAGTGCCATCCCCAACTGGGAGCCCCACCCAGGGACTGGGTATCCCTTCGCCCCTGCCGGTGGGGGCTGGCGGGGGGATCTTCACAGGAGGCTATTTTAGGTTTGCTCCCGAGTCTCCCTGAGCTGAGGCTCCTCGAGATTGAGAGCCAGGCCACTGGGCCGCTTGGGCAGGGCCCGACCTTGTACTGTGGCAGGCACAGGGCAGGGAGGAGTGCTGGGCCTGGGCACTAGGCTGCAGGACGTTTCCCTTATGAGCTTCAGACAGGAGCTGTGGAGTCTGGAGAGTTCCACAGGGCCAAGGAGATGGTGCCTCAGGAGCCCATGAGTTTTTCTTCAGACAGAAAACACAGTTCTGTGGCTACACTTTGGGCAACTGGAGATTAAACCTCGGAGGGGCTGGGCACTGGGGCTCACGCCTATCATCCCAGCATTTTGGGAGGCTGGGGCAGGAGGATCACCTGAGCCCAGGAGTTCAAGACCAGCCTGGACAACATAGTGAGACCCTGTCTCTCTCTCAAATAAAAAAAAATCTGGAAGACTGCAGGGAACCCACAGTGTTGCTAAGGGGGAGCCCTCAGGGAGGGGCAAAGGCCCAGCGAGCCCTGATGGCCCTGCCCTGCAGCCCCAGTTTCCTTTCATCTGTGTGTGTCCGTGCTCTCTAGCCATGGGTACTGGGCCATCTCTGGGGACATATTTTTGCTGGTGCTGCTGGCATCTGCTGGGTAGAGGCCAGGGCCACTTCTCAGCACCCTGCAGTGCACAGGACACCCTCACAACACAGAGCAGCCCAGCCCCAAAACTCCATAGACACTCAAGAGACTAGTTAGCACACACAGCGCACAGCTTGGTGGACACCAGCTAGCCAAAGGTCAGTCCCTAGTGGCTCCCCCTGGCCAAAAAGCCTCCAGGTTTAACCAGACTCTTCAGAGACTCTTTAAGAACTGAGCAGGTCCGGACTGGGCACGGTGGCTTGTGCCTGTGATCTTAGTACTTTGAGAGGCCGAGGCCAGGATCACTGAAGGCCAGGAGGTCAAAACCAGCCTGGGCAGCATAGCAGGATACTGTCTCTACAAAAAGGTTTTTAGAAAAGCCAAAACAGGTCAACAAGGCCATGTGGAGACGCCCCGCGCCCCTCAATGCACCCCGCCGCTGCCTGGATCTTCCTTCCCTGTAGGAGGCCAAGTCACTTCCTGGGGCCCTGGGCCCCACAGTCTCCAGCCCTTTCTCATTGGTTCGTCCCAAGACACAATCAGCCAACGTCCTGAGAAGCGTGACCCGCACGTGGGCCCGGCCGCGGCTGCCATCCCAGCTTTGAGCTCCGCCTCACTGCTGATGGAGCCTTCTCCCGAGGAAGCTTGTGGGCGTCCAGTCAGGTGCTTTCTATGGGACTTCCCCTTCAGGCGGCCCCGCAAGCCTCTGATCCGCCATCAACCTGTGTCCCTTTTTTTTCAAGTCAAAGTCTCATTCCATGACCCAGGCTGGAGTGCAATGGCATGATCGTGGCTCACCTCAGCCTCAACCTTCTAGGCTCAGGCAATCCTTACACCTCGGCCTCCTGAGTAGCTAGGACTACAGGGGCCACCACGCCCAGGTCATTTTTTGTATTTTGTAGAGATGAGGTCTTGTGTGTTGCCTAAAGCGATCTTGGACTCCTGGGCATAAGCAGTGACCTCGCCTCAACCTCCCAGTGACCCATATCTTAATCTGTTTGGGGACACGTTGTAAGAAGCATATAGCAGGTGGCTCTGTCGCTATATGGACATCATACAGTGACTCACCACACCCAGGCGGTCTTGCCTGCTGCACGCCTTGGCCACGTAGGCTAGCCTGCTACCCTCGACTACACACCTGAACAATGTGTTCCTGTACTGAACGCTGTAGGCCCATGTGACACGTGGCAAGTGTTTGTGTGTCTCCACATGGGAGAGGCACAGGAAGAATATGGCAGTAGAACTTCACAAGACCCCGCACACCTGTGGCCTGTTGTTGACTGACACACTGCCATGCAGCACGTGGTCACACTGCAGCGCTTACCTGATAGGCTAACAGGAGTGTGCATCTTGGCATGTGGAGGCTGGGAGTCCAGGGTCAAGGTGCGGGCAGGTTGGTGTCTGCTGGGGCCTCTTCCTGGTGCGTGCACAGTCACGTGCCCTCGTGTGGTGGGGCCGAGGGAGCTCTCTGGGCCCCTTACCTGAGGGCATGGATCCTATTCACAGGGGCGACCCCCTCACAACTCGTCGCCTCCCAAAGGCCCCGCCTCCTGGTCCTGTAACCTCAGGTGAAGGTTCAGTGTGTGGAGTTGCGGGGGTGACATTCCAGTGTGGAGTGAGGCCTTCGGGAAAATCTCACCTCTCCTTGGGGCCCAGGTGTCTCCAGTGTCTGGCTTCCCTGTGCACTCGGCCCCCTGTCCCCACCCACCTCCACATTGGGACCTCGGCAGTGACCTTGCCCCTCCCCCCTCCCTCCCTCTCTCCCCATACAGCTTGGCCTTCTCAAACAGGAGCATGGCTGCTGCCGGACTTCCTTTCTGCCATGACTTGGGGCGTGTCCTCCCTGCATCCCTGTCCGCCATGCCACTCTCCCCAGCCCCAGGACCATGAGGGCTTGGACAGCAGGACTCCAGGCCCAGGACCACACTGCCGCCCTCCCCTCGTCTGCTGGGCTGCACCCTGCCAGCCTCGCCTGGGCCACTCTGTCCCCAAAACAGCCACCCCCGCCCCCATACCCTCTCCCTCCTGTCTGCTTTCCATTCTCCATCCCACTCTAGGTACCCGCGAGGCGTCATCTTAACCCCTGTGGGTGGTGGGTCCTTCCTGGGAAAGGAGTGTCTAGGAACCTAGGCAGGGAGGAGGTCCCCTGTGAATCTGGGTGGTGGCTGCATGGGAGGTCCCAGAGGGGACCCCATGTTCCATGTACTGCACACATTTCTTGGTTCGTGTGGAAAAATGGTCCCTTATAAAATGGGGTGACACTGTATTTGTCCTTTTGTGACTGGCTTATTTCTCTTAGCATGGCATCCTTGGATTTATCTATATGACTGCTTGTGTTAGTGCTTGTTTCCTTTTTAAGGCCACAGTGTGGATGAACCTTGAACACGCAATGCTGAGTGAGGAAAGCCAGACATGGAAGGCCACACTGTGTGTGATTCCATTGCTAGAAATGTCCAGAACAGGCACTTCCACGGAGACAGGAAGCAGATTCATGGACATTGGGCTGGTGAAGGGGATGGGGACAGGGCTTCTTTTGGGGGATGAGAATGTTCTGGAACTGGATAGAGGTGGTGATTGTGCAACTTTGTATATGTGCTAAATGTGTAGTGACTGGTACGTCATGTTAGTTTCTTAAAGATAACTTTGTGGGCCGGGCTCGGTGGCTCAGCCTGTCATCCCAGCACTTTGGGAGGCTGAGGCAAGTGGAGCCCTGAGGTTCCACAGGTTCGAGACCAGCCCTGGCAACTTGGCGAGACCTCGTCTCTACAATAAATCAAAAATTAGCCGGGCGTGGTAGCGCGCGCCTGTAGTTCCGGCTACTTGGAAGGCTGAGGCGGAAGGATTACCGGAGCCCAGCCAGTCAGGCTGCGAGGGCCGGGAGCGGCCACTGCACTCCAGTCTAGATGACTGAGTGAGACTCCAACTCAAAATTAAATGAATAAAACAAATAAAGATGACTTTGTGAACCCGCTGTGGGGTTACCCCCCAAGGCAGGCCTGGCCTGACCTGTACCCTTTCCCCTGCCTGGTGCCACGCAGAGCCTGGTGCTGCGTTGGCCCGGCGGCCGCAGACTACTGGAAAAGGCAGGTAATCAGTGTTTCCGCCTTTGCAGAACAGACGCTCCCTGGGGTGGCCAGTGACCAGGCCTGGTGTGTGTCCACAGAACTTCACCCACGGACACTAGAGTGTGGATAGCATTTTCACATGTTGAGATGTTTTCTGTGTTTGATTTTTTTTAAACCATTTACTAATGTAAACACCATCCTTGGCTCACAGGTTGACTTGGCCCACGGGTCATGGTTTGCTGTGTCAGCTGAACAGTGATAATTGAAAAAGAACTCAGGCAACGGGCATTTTTAATGCCAAAGATTTCAAACTTGAGCACCACGCACCACCCCAGCCCAGAGACCCAGAGTGAATGTTGGAGCAGGCCCCAGCTGCATGCCTGTGTTTCCCGGGTCTTCCCTGGGCTTGAGTCCACCAAGCCCAGGGCACTATCCTCACCATCTGAAAACCTGCTTTTGTTTTCCTCACAGGCTTTTGGGAATGCTAAGACGGCCCACAACAACAACTCCAGCCGGTTTGGGAAGTTTATCCAAGTCAACTACCTGGAGAGCGGCATCGTGAGAGGGTGAGGGCACCCGGTTACCATGGGGGGTGACTCCATGCCATTGCTTCTTGACACATGGGTGGGAGTGTGACGCAGAAACTGGCCATACAGACGTTTGTCACACAGGAGGGCAAGTGTGACTTTACGTCTTTGGAGAGAAGGTATGCTCAGTGGGTTGGCAGGGGGAAGGGGCGCCACTAGAGTAAGTCCTAAAGAGCTGGAGTTACCAGTGTGATGGGGTTTGCCAGGAACAGTCAAGGACAGTCGAGCCCACTTCCTGGTCTTCATGAGGTTTCTAATTTGGTAGGCCTGGAGGTGTCACAGGCAGAGTGGGTGTGGACTCTGGTGTTTGCCAAACATATGCCCCTGTACCTTGAAAGAGTTGTGATATGGAGTAGTAAAAAGTGAGAAGATTGTTCAAGGAAATACTGAAGGGTAAGGTAGATGGATGGATTCATGAGTGTATGGGTGGATTTATGAGTGGATGGATGGATGGATTCATGGGTAGGTAAATGGATTTATGAGAGGATGGAGGGATGGGTGGATGAGTTGATGGATGGATGGATGGGTGGATAGTTGGATGGATTCATGGGTAGGTGAGTGGATTCATGAATGAATGGATGGATGGGTGGGTGGGTAGGTAGGTGGATGGATGGATGAATGTATGCGTGCATGGATTCATGGGTAGGTGAGTGGATGGGCAGATGGATTTGTGGGTGAATGGTAGGTGGGTGAATTTATGAGTGGATGATTGGATGGATTCGTGGGTGGGTGGATGAATAAATGGATGGATAGATTCAATTCATGGAGAGATGGGTCTATGGGTGGGCGAATGGATGGATGGGTTTGTGGGTGGATGCGTGTGTGTGTGGGTAGATGGATGAATAGATGGATTCAGGGATGTGTGGATGTGTGGGTAGATGGATGGACAAATGGGTGGCTGGATGGATAGATGGATTTATGGGTAAATAGGTAAGTGGGCGGGTTGATGGCTAGGTGGCTGGGTGTGTAGATGGTATCTGGCAGGATCTGAGGCCTGACTTCTGACAGGAATCCTCCTCCAGCTGCAGAGTCTTGTGTGAAGGGTGTGGGGTTTCTATGGGTCCCAGGCTATAGATTCCTCTGCCTTTCTGAGCCTGACTGGTGGTCACTCAACCAGCAGCTCATATTCAGGACTGAGCAGATGTACTCTCCCGAGTCCTACGTCTTCGTGGCAGGGGGCCCCATGTGTGTCAGGGCCTGCCCCAGCCCCTCACCCTCAGCCCCCACAAGGCCATCAGAGGCTCCCCAGCCCTGCCAGCCATATAGTATGCCCAGTTCATCACAAGCCCCGGAGCAGCCGCCCACCCACCTGCCCCCAGGCCTCTCCCTTTTCTCCATGAAGACCTCACCTCTTTTTCTAACCCATTTTTAAATATTAAAATACACATCACATAAAATCTATCCTCAGCGCCGTCTCTAAGTGTTCGATGCAGCAGCAGTAGGCACATGCACACTTCTGTGCAGCTGTCGCCACCGTCAGCTCCAGAGTTTTCTCATCCTCCTAAACTCTGTCCCCCGAAACACTCCCTCTCCATTTCCTCCCCAGCGCTCACTCTCTTACTTTCTGTCTCTGTGAATGTGATGACTTTAGGAACCTCGTATAAGTGGAATCACACAGCACTTGTCCTTTTGTGTCTGGCTCATTTCACTCAGCACTGTATCCGCAATGCACATCCACAATGTAGCAGGTAACGAGGGCTTCCTTCCCTTTTATGGCTGAACACCATTTTGTTGTACGGTGGGGGGACCACATTTCTTTCTCCATACCTGGTAAGCTTTCATGATGGACACCTGGGTTGTTCTCACCTTTTGACTGTTATGAATAGTGCTGCTGTGAACACAGTGTGCACATATCTCTTCAAGACCGTGCTTTAATTTGGGGGGCTGTATGCGCAGAAGTGGAATTATTGGATCTCATGGTAGTCCTGTGTTTAATTTTCTTTTTCTTTTAAATTTTGAAGATGTGGGGTACAATTCAGGATTAGGTGTATAAGTGATCATCATACAGGTGAAGTTTGAGCCTCCGTTTGGTCCCCACTTTGCTTAGTTTGAGATCAGGTACCCTTATCATCCCCCACCACTGGCAGTTTCTGGCTACTGCCAGTCCCTTTCTTTAGTATTACAGTAAATATTCAGGGTCCACTTATAAGTGAGAACTGTGTTTAATTTTTGAGGACTCACCATACTGTTTCCCACAGTGGCCATGCCTTCTTGCATTCTCACTAGCTGTGCGCAAGAGTCTCACCTCTCATCTTTGGGACTTTTTCTCCCATGGGCCCATATTTTGCATGATCGCTCGCATCTGCAACATGGCAGCAATTTTGACCAGCAGGAAGTGCCTAGGGAATCTTGCTTAGTGGATGGCAGAGAAATGTACGGTTTCTGCAAATCCTGGGACTCCCTGGGAGAGAATCTGAGAGACCACCTCATGTTTTCCCAGATGTCCAGCTGGCTCTGTAGGCCTTGGGCCAGTGCCCCAGGCTTGGCCTTCCTTTGGGCACCGCTGACCTCCTCCACATGGTCTCTGGGTTTCCTGGGTCTGCTGTAACAGCATGACAGACTCAGTGGCTCAAATAATAAGAATTTATCCTCTCCCAGTCCTCGCAGCCAGAAGTCTGGAATCAAGGTGTCAGCAGGCTTCTTCCTTCTGGAGGCTCTAGGAGAGGAGCCTCCCTGCCTCCTCCAACCTCTGGGGGGCTCCAGGTGTCCCTTGGCTTGTGGCCCCACCACCCCAGCCTCTGCCCCTGTCTCCATGTGGCCTGTGTATTTGTGCCTCTTCCCCTTCTCTTCTCACAAAGACACTTGTCACTGGGTTTGGGATCCACCCAGATCATTGAGAATGATCATGAGATTCTTTTTTTTTTTTTGAGTTGGAGTCTCACCCTGTCACCCAGACTGCAGTGCAGTGGCCGCTCCCGGCCACCGCAGCCTCAACCTGCTGGGCTCCAGCGATCCTTCCGCCTCAGCCTTCCAAGTAGCTGGAACTATAGGCGCGCGCTACCACGCCCGGCTAATTTTTGATTTATTGTAGAGATGAGATCTCACCAAGTTGCCCAGGCGGGTCTCGAACCCGTGGGCTTAGGCAATCCACTCACCTCAGCCTCCCAAAGGCACGGGATTACAGCCTGAGCCACTGAGCCCAGCTGATTGTGAGATTCTTAATTGTATCTACAAAGACTCTTTTTCCAAGTAAGGTAACATTCTATCTCCAGAAGACATATCTTCCAGGGCTTCTATTTGACCCTGACAGCGGAAGGGCTAGCCTGGCCTTGGCTGAGCTGTTGGCCTGCTCCACCTGCCACAGGCTCTGTCAGGTTCGGGACCAGCAGCCCTTTGCCGCAGATCTCTGCAAAATCATGTCTGGATTCAGGAAAGGAAGTCCTGCCTTAACCACCACTGTGACCAGCCTCACCCTGGGAGGGAGGCACACTTTCCAGCTCGAGACCACCTTGGCCATCCATGAGGAGCCAGTGGGTACTGGTTCTAGTCTGCGTTCGGGTAGGGGACCCATCTGAAGGCCATTTCCCACCAAGACCAAGGGTCAGGGTGGTCTGAGCCTACCCCCCAGTTCCCTGATACGTGAGGCCTCAGCTTTCTGTGTGTTGAAGGCCTCAGTGCTGGGGAGCCCTGGTCCCTACACGACATTTATTAGGGTCCCAGGCTGTGAAAATAATAAGAAAAGGGAAGAGGCCGTTGTCGGTCACATGAGAGCTCGGTGCTGGACACCCAGTGCTGGCCAGTCATCCTGCTGGCTTGGGGTTGCATCCTCCCCCGGACACAGACACAGCACGGAGAATCGTCACAGACTGGGATTCAAATGTGAGTCTGATCCTAGAACCAGGAAAAGGAACTGGGGAAAGGTTCCTAACCGGAGGAACTGAAGGAAACCTTTCTTCTCCTATGTTTGAAAGAAAAGAAGACCATGCCAGGCCGTTGGAAACCACCCATGGGTGTTGCATATCCACATGCAAGGCCGCAGACAAAGGAACGCTGTCCTGGAGAGAGAAAAGATGGTGTCTGGCAGGCCCTGGACCGGGCCCCAGGCTGTCCCTGGCTCTGCTACCCCTGGGTACCAACCTTGTCTCCTGTGTGACGGAATGGGCTCAGATGTGGGTGGTCTACAGGCCCCACCCAGCTCACATGCCTGGTGGTGACAGAGCCCACAAGAGACCACCCAGCTCCAGCCAGCATTGGGCATCCCCTGGCTGCCTTGTTCCATGGGGTCCTGGGCAGCACACAGTCTCTCCGCCCCTCGCTCCTCAGGCGTAGCTGGGGCTGCTTGCCCACCCCAGCAGGCAGGAGGATTCCCTGAGAAGTGCTTCAAAGGATGTGCAGGGCGAAGCAGGGCCTTGGGAAACATCCACCACTGCTCCTGTGCGTGTGAGATACAGTGTAGCTGCAGTGACGCCCTGATCCCTGCTCCAAGATCCTCAGACTCAAGGTCCCACCTGAATCCACATGCCTCCCCAGGGGGCTTTGAGAACTGAATGTGGAAGGAACACCGTAACGGTTCCACACAAAGAAAGTGACCAGGAAATACTGGCACACCCAACTGTGTGGATATAACCAGTGTCAGCATGCATCCGAAAGCCCTGCTCTTCCAAAGACACTGGGAAGAAAATGAAAGGCAAGGCCAAAATCGGAGACGATAACTGCTCATCATGGAGCCTGCAGGGACATGGGTCTAGACTACGCAGAGAGCATCTGCAGCTCAATAACAGGACCAAGAACCCAATAAGAAAACAGGCAGGCTGGGTGCGGCGACTCACGCCTGTCATCCCAGCACTTTGGGAGACTGAGACGAGAGGATTGCCTGAGCCCAAGCTTTGAGACCAACACGGGCAACTTGATGAGACTTCATCTGTACAGTAAATGAAAAAATTAGCCGGGTATGATGATGCATACCTGTAGTTCCAGCTACTTGAAAGGCTGAGGCGGAAGGGTCGCCTGAGCCCAGCAAGTCGAGGCCGCGATGGCTGTGCGTGTGCCACTGCGCTCCAGCCTGGGTGACGGAGTGAGACCCCAACTCAGAAAACCAAAGAAAGCAGGCAGACTACTTCAACAGACATCTCATCGAAAGGGAGATGGTGAGCAACATTGTTAGTCACCAGTGAAACGCGAATAAAAGCCACAGAGACGACCTGCCCTTTCCCCCCTACTCGGATGATAGAGACAAAAATACAGATAACAGGTGTTGGTGAGAGTGTGGAGAAATTGGAATCCTCATTCACTGCTGGCGGGAATATAAAATAGTGCGGCTGCCTTGGAAAACTATTTGGCAGTTTCTTAAAAAGTCGAACATAGAGTCACCGTTTGACCCAGCAATTCCACTTCTAGGTATTGGTTAGCTCAGGAGAAATGGGTTTATTGATGCCTGTTGGGGAAAGGCGCATTTGAATAACTTCTCAACGTTTGTTTAAACGCACATCTACTCAAAGACTTGCACTCAAATGTCCACAGCAGAATCGTTCAAGATAGCTAAAAATGGGAGACACCCACAGGTTCAGCAACCACCCAGGGCTGTCTCCCAGGATCCACGTGAGCTTCTGTGTCTGTCTGTCGGCCCGATCCTGGTCTGGGGAGCAAAAGCAGCCAGCCCAGATTCCTTACCTTTATAGATAATAGTCAGAGGACGAGGAGACATTTAGGATATTCTGTCTACACAATGTGTACTCACATTGTGCCAAAGGAAGTTCACGTGTAGCTGCCTGCACTGAGGTGCCCAATACTATGCAAAAACATGATTCTTCAAGAAAACAATATGGACCCAATACTGAGATATAATGTACTCTCCTTTCCCTTTTTCTTGTAACGACAGAGCTGTTGTCGAAAAATACCTGCTTGAGAAGTCTCGCCTGGTCTCTCAGGAAAAGGACGAGAGGTAGGAGGGGGTTTGCCCGGTAAACCCTAAAGCAGCTCCCTGTGTGTTCCTGTGGTGGGGGAGCTCTCGGGGAGGCCAGAGGCCCTCAGAACTGGGGCCTGCCCATCAGCCTTCTTCCCGGGCCTGTTCCTGTGGCCTCAAGATCTGTGCCCATCTCTCCTAAACCACCTTTTGTGCCTTCTGGAGGTTTTATCCTCAGCAGGTGCTCAGATGTCTGCTCAGAATGTGACTGGGTTAGACGCATTTCTAAGTGACATTAGGACACCCAGCCCCACAGAAATGTACTCAAGAAGTTTGTTTTTTTTTTAAAGATGTACTAAGAATTGGCTTATTGTTTTACATTTGTATTTGCGGTGCTTTTCGTCCTTGGTGTGGTCTCCAAAGCAATAATCGTAGTGGTTTGAAAAGTAGCTATTGCTTGGCCTCCAAAAATGACCTTTTTTCTCCTATTTGGGCCCGCAGAAACTACCATGTGTTTTATTATTTGTTACTCGGTGTCAGCGAGGAGGAGCGCCAGGAATTTCAACTCAGGCAGCCTGAAGATTATTTCTACCTCAACCAGGTAAACAGCCCTGAGCCTGGCCACAAACACCCCCTCTGTTCCTGCCACCCACTGTTTACCCGCAGCCGGGAAGTCAGGGGCCGGCCTGCCTGGGCCCCCCAGGCCCGCGCCTTGAGGCAACACAAAGGAGCCCATTCATTCCCAGGCCAGGGCCCTGTCCTCCAGGCCCAGCCAGAGGGCTTCAGCACGCCACCCGGGCAGCCCAGAGCTGCCGGAACGCTGGCGTCCTTGTCTTTCAGCATAACTTGAAGATTGAAGATGGAGAAGACCTGAAGCACGACTTCGAAAGGCTCAAGCAGGCCATGGAGATGGTGGGCTTCCTCCCTGCCACCAAGAAGCAGTAAGTGGCAGCCTGGGCCGTTCCGCCACGCCTGCAGGGGGCATCTGGGCTCTTGCCAGTCGCTCTGAGATCCCGCCACGCCCGGTAGGAAATGAACAGGCGTCCAGAGCAGAGCTGCCCAGGGAGGGCAGCCCAGCATCAGGGAGTGTATGACGGGGTCCCACTGTCGGTCATTAGGAGCTGCCCGGGTGAAGGTGCTTGCCACTGCTACCTGTGCCCTTCAGAGTGGTTTGAGCCAGTACATTTCATGTGACACTTATTGTAATCCCAGCACTTTGGGAGGCAGAGGTGAGAGACTTGCCTGAGTCCAAGGGCTCCAGACCAGCTTGGACAGCTTGGCAAGACCTTATCTCTACAATAAATCAAAAAATTAGCTGGGCATGGTGGCACATGCCTGTAGTTCCAGTTGCTTGAAAGGCTGAGGCAGAAGAATCCACTGAGCCCAGCAGGTGAAGGCTGTGGTGACCATGAGTGTACCACTGCACTCCAGCCTGGACGACAGAGTGAGACTCCTACTCAAAAAAAAAATTAAAAAAAATAAATAGCCAGGCTGGGTGGCTCAGCCTGTAATCCCGTGCCTTTGGGAGGCTGAGGTGAGTGGATTGCCTGAGCCCACGGGTTCGAGACCCACCTGGGCAGCGAGACCTCATCTCTACAATAAATCAAAAAATCAGCCGGGCGCAGTAGTGCATGCCTGTAATTCCGGCTACTCGGAAGGCTGAGGTGGAAGGATCTCCAGAGCCCAGCAGGTCGAGGCTGCGGTGGCCGGGAGCGGCCACTGCATTCCAGTCTGGGCGACAGAGTGAGACTCCAACTCAAAAAAAAATGCAGCCGGGCTCGGTGACTCAGCCTATAATCCCGCGCCTTTGGGAGGCTGAGATGAGTGGATTGCCTGAGCCCGCAGGTTCGAGACCCACCTGGGAAACTTTAGAGAACTCATCTCTACAATAAATCAAAATGAGCCGGGCATGGTAGCGTGCACCTGTAATTCCAGGTACTTGGAAGGCTGAGGTGGAAGGATCGCCGGAGCCCAGCAGGTCGAGGCTGCAGTGGCCGCTCCCGGCCACTGCACTCTATTCTGGGTGACAGAGTGAGACTCCAACTCAAAACAGACAAACAAACAAACAAAAAATGTGTTTAAGCCAGGCACAGTGGCTCACTTTTGTAATCTCAGCACTGTGGGAGGCGAAAGCAGGAGGATCGCTTAAAGTCAGGAGTTATAGACCAGCCTGAGCAACAGAGCAAGACCCTGTCTCTCCAAAAAAAAATTTTTTTTTAATTATCCGGATGTGGTGGCTCCTGTAGTCCCAGCTACTCTGGAGGCTAAGACGAGGATTGCCTGAGCCCAGGAGGTTGAGGCTGCAGTGAGCTGTGATTGTACCACTGCACTCCAGTCTGGGCCACAGAGTAAGACCCTGTCTCTGAAGAAACAGAATAGCTGTCTACAGAGTCACGTTTCCGAGAGGGAGCCCACCGCCAAGGCTTAGACAGTTCTCAGGCTTCATGCGCTCTGACTGGAAGTTGCTGGCTTTGTGAAGTGAGTCCAGCCAGCTCCGGTAAGTGCTGCCTCAGGATTGTGGAACCGCCCAGTCGTCAGCTCCTTCTCTCTCCCAGGATTTTCTCTGTGCTCTCCGCTATCCTGTACCTGGGCAACGTCACCTATAAGAAAAGAGCCACGGGCCGAGAGGAGGGCCTGGAGGTTGGGCCCTCCGAGGTGCTGGACACCCTGTCCCAGCTTCTGAAGGTACAGCCTGCTGCCCCGGTTAGGTCCAACTCTGGGCCTCTGGACCCCAGGGGTTCACTTGGGGCACGAGCTCCCAGCATTTCCTGCATTGGGGTGTCTGTAACCAGGACCTTGCTTCCTCCACTGTTGCCTCTGTGATGTCCCTTCCTCATTTCCGATGAGCTTCCTAGGCAGTGACACCTCCCACTTCAGCCCTCAAGCGCAATGCATTTAAAATTACAGTTTGTAGCCGGGTGCAGTGGCTCACACCTGTCATCCCAGCACTTTGGGAGGCCAAGACGAGAGGATTGCCTGAGCCCGGGGGTTTGAGACCCACCTGGGCAACAAGGCAAGACCTCATTTCTACAATAAGTCAAAAAATTAGCCAGGCATGGTGGCATGCGCCTGTGGTTTCAGTTACTTGGAAGACTGAGACAGAAGGATCACCTGAGCCTAGCAGGTCGAGGCTGTGGTGACCGTGAGCATGCCACTGCACTCCAGCCTGGGCAACAGTGAGACTCTGACTCAAAAAATATTTAAAAAATTATGGTTTGTGTAACACCAGCACTTTGGGAGGCCACTTGAGGATTGCTTAAGGATCAGCCTGAGCAATATAGTGAGACCCCTGGGCCCTTTCCAGAAAACATTTACCAACCCCTGGCTGTGATCATGATCCCCAGGCCTATGTCCCTAATTCTCAACTTAGGCATCTACCTCTAGCCTTTGCCTGAGCCTGGGTGTTTTCTCATGTGGCCTCCTTTGCACATCACACAACATTTACCACCTTAGCCATGTGTAAGTGAATGTGTGTACAATTCACCAGCAACAAGCACATTCACATTGTCATGGAACCATCACTGCTGTCATCTACAGAACTTTTCTACCAAAAAATAAAAAAATTAGCCAGGTGTTGTGGCACGTATCTATAGTCCTAGCTACTTGGGAAACTGAGACAGGAAAATGACTTGAGCCCAGGAGGTTGAGACTTCAGTGAGCCACAATGGTACCACTGTACTCTAGCCTGAATGGCAAAGCAGGATCCCATTTCTCTTTCTTTTTTTAAAGCAAAACAAGAAACCTCTAGTTTAATCAGCAGGGTCATTTTCTCATTGACCTGCCGTCTCCTCCTTCACTGTTTCTGAGCCAGTCGATTCGCCCCCAGTGGGCAGTGTTTGGAGACCTTTCTGGTTGTCAGACCAGGGGTACTCCTGGCATTTCATCAGTGGAGGCTGGGGATGGTACTCAGCACCCTCAGTGCACAAGACATCCCGCTGTCAGAGAGTGACCCAGCCCCAAGTTCATCCGAGGCCAGGCTGAGACGCCCTGCCATGATCTTCCCCTTTTCTATGGACTTGTTCCATCTGCAGCCTTTCTTAGAGAAGGCTCTCAGGAGCCTTAGTTTTTCTCAAGTTCCTGGGGGTGCAGGAAACTCCCCTAACCCCCACTCTTGTTACTGGCATGCAGAGACCGCCAGTTCAGAGGGGCTCAGCGGTCTGGTCTCTGGGTGAGGTCTGAGCCCAAGTTTGACCTCTGCGCACTGGGTGGGAGTCACCCTCTGATCTCAACAGCTTGCGTGCAGGCCGCCAGGCACCGCCCATGCCCTAACACCAGCCTATGCTGGGTAAAGATTCTGCGGCCTGCCTAGCCCAGGGCGTGCCACAGTCAGCAGTCTCCGGGCCCTTTCCCTGACCTAGCCACTGGGGGTCCACACCATCGCCTCAGGCTCAGGACCGCCCGACATGCTCTCTGTCTCCCTTCCTCTTTCCCTCCCCAACCTTGGAACAGGTGAAGCGAGAAATTCTGGTGGAAGTTCTGACCAAGAGAAAAACAGTGACTGTCAACGACAAGCTGATTCTCCCCTACAGCCTCAGCGAGGTGAGCACTGCCGGGCACTCGCTGGTACCAGTCCCCAGGACACCAGCGGAGAGTCCTTTGGAAAGGGCAGTGTGGGGGCTCCTCCTGTCCCTGGCAGTGCCTCTGAGTCTCACGTGAGCTCAGACATGCACAGCTTACAAGACAGACTGTGGCCATCAGGCCAGAACTTGAGTCTCGTGTTCCTCCCTGGGTTTCTAGACATTTCTAGCAGAGGTTGGTCAGATCTGGTCCTCTGCCTGGTTTTGACAATAAAGTTTTATTGGCACACAGCCACACCTATTCACTTACATACCGTCTACACAGCAGAGTTGAGCCATTGACACAGAGAGCCAAAAACGGACTCCTGGGCCCTTTCCAGAAAACATTTGCCAACCCCTGGCCATGAACATGACCCACAGGCCTGTGCCCCTAACGCTCAGCTAAGGCACCTCCCTCTGGCCTTTGCCTGAGCCTGGGTGTTTTCTTGTGTGGTCTCCTTTGCCTTCTTACATCACAGCCTGCAGCTTGGACAGCAGCAGGAAAGTCCCTGATTTTTAGCTGATGATGGCCCCTCACCTGACAGGAAGCTGCCTGGGTGTTTCAGATAGGCACCGGGATGTTCCAAGCCCACACAGGGCCAAGCCATGTAATGTTACCGGGAAGTCATTGCAGGCTGCCTGAGACCCCAGCAGCGCAGAAGCCCCCAGAGCACTGCGCTGAGCCAGGCACCCAGCAGGGCTGCCTTCTTTGTGGCTCCATTTCCATGGCATCCAAGAAAGAGCCAGAGGGACCCTGCACATCATGCCTGCAGCTAAGCACATCTCTTGTTGCAGCTGAGAACTGAGTATGCAGAGGGAACTTGTATATAGATTAGACCTTTAAAAAAAGTTCTTATAGGCCAGGTGCTGTGGCTTATGCCTATAATCCCAGCACTTCATGAGGGGATTGCTTGAGGCTAGAAGTTCAAGACGAACCTTGGCAACATAGCAAGACCCCGTCTCTACAAAAAACTATGAAAAATTAGCCAGGCATAGTGGCACACACCTGTAGTTCCAGCTACGCAGGAGGCTGAGGTAGAAGGATCACCTGAGCCCAGTAGGAAGAGGCTGCCATGAGCTGTGATCATGATTGAGACGCCGACTCAAAAAGAAAAAAAACCTCTCATGAATACGAGATGGTCACGTGGTGCCCCCGAGGAACAAGGGGCCTGGGTGCTGACCTGGCTTGCCTTGCTGGTTCTACCACGAGGTGCACCTGTTCCTGTCCTGGAACCCCAGTCCTCATTCAGCCATCACCTAGGCTCCTCTGAGGAGTGAGCTGGTGTGTGGACTGTCTGAGCAGGTGCATGGGTCCCTGGGTCCGCGCTCGCCTTAGCACACAGGTGTGTCAGCACGTACGAGGTGAAGCGATGTACTGGCTGCCTCCACTCCCTAGTGTGCGTGGATGAGGGGCAGCCTGGCGCACAGGTGCCTGCCTGAGGTGAGCCACCCCTGTGTCCACAGGCCATAACTGCCCGGGACTCCATGGCCAAGTCACTGTACAGCGCCCTGTTTGACTGGATTGTGCTGCGGATCAACCATGCCCTCCTCAACAAGAAGGACATGGAAGAGGCCGTCTCGGTGAGTGTTGCTAGCCATTCTACCAAGCCAGGTCAGGGAGGCTGTGTCCAGTGAGTCGTCCTTGATGGATGACCCAGGATGTCAGGAGCCAAGGCACCTGCTGTGGAGAGCTGGTTCCTCCCACGGGCAGGCCCAGGAAGCCAGGCAGGCAAGGGAGTCCAAGGGGCCCAGCACAGGATGAAGTTTGGGGCCCCTTTCTCAAATAGGCATGGTGGCACCTGTTGCCTCAGCTACCGAGAAGGCTGAGGGGGAGGAGCACTTGAGCTTAGAAGTTCAAGTCCAGACTAGGCAGCATAGTAAGACCCCGTCTATAAAAATAAATAAATGTTTTTTAAACAATGACTAGCTAGGTGTGGTGGTGCCTATAGTCCCAGCTCCTCAGGAGGCTGAGGCGGGAGGATCGCTTGAACCCAGGAGGTCAGGGCTGCAGTGAACTACTATCATGCCACAGCACTCCAGTCTGGGCAACAGAGTGACCCTGACTCAGAAAAAGCAACAGTCACAGTTTCTATGCTGACAACAGCAAAGCATTCAGCCGGACACGGACACCCAGGACCTGGCAGGTCACGGCCCTTGAAGCTGGCCCCACGTGAAAGCCAGCTTCCTCGGGGGGCCCACTGGCAGGGAACGCTTTCTGTCTCCCCAGTGCTTGTCTATCGGGGTCCTGGACATCTTTGGGTTTGAAGACTTCGAGAGGAACAGCTTTGAGCAGTTCTGCATCAACTACGCCAACGAGCAGCTGCAGTATTACTTCAACCAGCACATTTTCACGCTGGAGCAGGTGAGGACAGAGCTTCTGTTTTGCCATTTATTTCGTTTGGTAAAATACACATCACACAGCGTTTACCATCTTGGCCGTGTGTAAGTGAATGTGCATGTAATTCGCTAGCCACAGGCACATTTACATTGTCGTGGAACCATCACCACCATCATCTCCAGAGCATTCTCAAACCGGTAGGCCGGGCAGTCCTCTCATCTCGGCCTCCCAAAGTGAGGAGATTATAGGTGTGAGCCACAGCACCCAGCCCAGAACTTTCTCATCTTCCCAAACTGAAGCTCCATGCCCAGGACATGCTCGCTCCCATTTCCCTTCCCAGCCCTGGCATCCACCGTCTGCTCTCTGTCTCTGAATGTGACAGTGCTGAGGCCCTCATATGAGTGGCATCAGGCAGCCTCTGTCCTTCTGTGTCTGACTTATTTCACTCAGCACAGTGTTTTCAAGGTTCGTCTATATTGTAAGAGGCGTCAAAACTTCCCGTTTTTGTTTTGTTTTTTGAGTTGGCGTCTCTGTCACCCAGGCTGGAGGGCAATGGCACGATCCAGGCCACCGCAGCCTCGACCTGCTGGGCTCAGGTGATCTTTCTGCCTCAGCCTTCCAAGCAGCTTGAATTACAGGCACACGCCACCACACCTGGCTAATTTTTTTTAAGTTTATTGTACAGACACGGTCTCGCCAAGTTGCCCAGGCTGGTCTTGAACCCTTAGGCTCAGACAGCCCTCTCACCTTGGCCTCCCAAAGTGCTAGGACGATGGGCGCACCCAGCCCCTTTTTAACGCCGAATAGTATTCCATTGTGTGGCCCACATTGTGTTTATCCACTCTCTCGTTGATAGATGCTTGGGGTGCTTGAACACTGCTGCTATGAACATGGATATATGGATATCACATGGAGACCCTGCCTTTGATTCTTTTGGGTGTGTACCCAGAAGTGAAATCACTGGAACATCTGATAATCTTATGTTTCATTGCTTGAAGAGCTGCCCTGCTGTTTTCCAGTGTGCAGCAATTTACAAGAAAATGTCCTTTGCTGCCCACCCAGCCCAAGGAGGGATGCAATGATCTAGAGCTGGAATCTCCCTTGAGACCCAGATCGTTGGCAAACTTACCCCAGAATTTTTCTGTCAAAAGGAAAATTAAAAAAAAAATCCCACCCAGCCCCAGATGAGGCACATGCCAGGGATATTTTGAGCCACAAGCTGTTTTGGGGCTTTCTTTGCCTAAACACAAAAGTCTTTTCGGTGGGAAAGAAGCAGAGTTGCCTTTTAAGGATTTGCTTTGGTCAATGACAATGATCATCTGTGTTACGAGTCTTCACGGCTAAATAGTCTGCCGTCTTTACTCATGTTATCATGTTATCTTTCATGTTGATAATTCTTATGGGAAAACAAAACGGGTGGGTTTATGTAAATATTTAACTGATTTTCCTGTTAGCATTTGGAACGTGGCCAGATGGAATTAAGTTGTACAGGAAGAGTGACATATATGCCAGATTTGGAAGACTTAATGCAGACAAAAAGAATGTAAAATATCTCGGTCATTTTTTTAATGTTGATTACATACTAACATAATTACATTTTGGATATATTGGTTAAATTAAATGGATTTTCTTTTCGAGTCAGAGTCTCACTCTGTCGCCCAGGCTGGAGTGCAGTGGTATGCTCCCGGCCACCGTAGCCTCGACCTGCTGGGCTCAGGCGATCCTTCCACCTCAGCCTTCCAAGTACAGCTAGTTTTTTTTATTTATTGTAAAGACAAGGTCTTGCCAAGTTGCCCAGACTGGTCTTGAACCCCTGGGCTCAGGCAATCCTCTTGCCTCAGCCTTCCGAAGTGGTGAGATTATAGGCGTGAGCCACTGCTCCCAACATTAAGTGTATTATTTTTGTTTGTTTTTTTTTTGAGTTGGAGTCTTACTCTGTCGCCCAGGCTGGAATGCAGTGGCATGCTCATGGCCACCCCAGCGTCAACCCACTGAGCTCTGACAATCCTTCTGCCTCAGTCTTCCAAGTAACTGGAACTACAGGTACAAGCTACCATGCCTGGCTAATTTTTTTATTTATTGTAGAGACTAGGTCTCACCATGTTGCCAAGGCTGGTCTCGAACCCGTGGGCTCAGGCAGTCCTCTCCCATTGGCCTCCCAAAGTGCTGGGATTATAAGCTTGAGCCACCCGTGCCTGTCCTGTTTTTTTACTTTTTAAGTTATGACTATTAGCTAGGTGCAGTAGCTCATGCCTGTAATCCCAGCACTTTGTGAGGCAGAGACGAGAGATTGCCTGAACCCAGGGATTTGAGACTAACCTGGGCAACTTGGTGAGGCCTCATCTCTACAATAAATCAAAAAATTCGTTGGGCATGGTAGCACACACCTGTGGTTCTAGCTACTTGGAAGGCTGAGGCTGAGCCCAGCAGGTCAAGGCTGTGATGGTTATGAGTGTGCTACTGCACTCCAGCCTGGGCGACAGAGTGAGACTCTGACTCAAAAAAAATGTGACCATTAGAAAACTCAGGATTATTCAAGTCACTCATTTTGTATTCCTTGGACAGTAGAGCTCTAGAGCGGGGACCGGCAAACCACAACCTGGAGTTGAATCTGGCTCCACAGTTTGTTTTTATAAATAAAGTTTATTGGTATACAGCCATTTGCTTACAGGTTGTTTGCAGGGGTTTTCACATGGCAGTTAGTAGCACAGCAACTGCCGTCTGGCCCTTTATGTGTGGGCTTGCGGACTCCGGGAACTGCGATTTTAAGCACCATGCTGTGACTGTCTGAGTACATGCAGTCTTGTTTCCTGTTGATAATGGTTCATTTATACGATAACTTTATGTAGTTAAATGTATAACTTTATATATTTACATACTAATATGCACTTTGTTATTTGGACATTTATGCATAAACATGCCAGTCTCTACCTAAATATGTTTGTACAGCATGGGTATCCCTTACCCGAACTGCTTGAGATGTCCTAGATTTGGGGTTTCTTTTGATTTTAGAACTCTTGTGTCATACAAACCAGCTGGGCATCCCTCATCTGAACTCTCCAGTGAGCATGGCCTTAGAACATCATGTCATGATGGCCCTCCAAAAACTCTGAATTTTTATTTTTATAGTGACGAGGTCTCACTATGTTGCTTAGGCTGGTCTCAGACTCCTTGGCTCAGACGATCCTCCCACCTCAGCCTCCCAAAGTGCTGAGATGACAGAGCCACTGTGCCTGGCCTTTTATTTTATTTTTTTCTAAAGCCAGTGTTTTGCTGTGTCACCCAGGCTGGAGTACAGTGATGGGATCATAGCTCACTGCGGCCTTGACCTCCTAGACTGAAGGATCCTCCTGTCCCGAGTAGCTGGGACTCCAGTCACCTCCACGCCGGCTTAAAGTTTCAGATTTTGAAACATTGAGGATTTTGAATTTTTGGTTAGGGGTCCTCCAACCGCACACAGTATGTGCTATAGAAATATTATTCCTCTGTGAACTGACCGGCTCACTGATGCCCCCGCCCTGCAGGAGGAGTACCAGAGCGAGGGCATCACCTGGCACAACATCGACTACACAGACAATGTCGGCTGCATCCACCTCATCAGCAGGAAGCCCACGGGCCTCTTCTACCTGCTGGACGAGGAGAGCAAGTGAGTGTCGCGGCCCATCAGTCCTGCGGACAGCTGGCCAGGGGCTGGTGGGGCTCGTGGCCCCCGAGGCCAGCCTGACCCAGAACGGCTCTGCCTCTTCTAGCTCACGTTTGTAAAATGCACCCCCAACTCGCCGCAGAAACTAACATATGTGGTTGATCTATGTGTACTGAAGCACAGGCATCCTGAGCCTTTTAGCAGAGGATTGTGGGCCTGTGTCTAGAGACTAGAGACAGTGGCATGTGGTGCTGGACCTGCATGCCATGGGCTTGCCTCACTGTGGAGCCTTGTCCCCTCACCCACTGGGCACAGTGGAGGCTGACAAGGCATCCCCTTGGCACCCCATTCTTGCAGTCACTGAAGTCAGATGACACTCACTGAGTTGGTTTCCTGTGGCTGCCCAAATGATCACCACAAGCCAGGCAGCACGAACAAGAATCGATTCTCTGTGGGTTCTGGAGGTCAGGAGTCCAAGGTGAAGGTGTCTCAGGGCCACACTGTCTCCAGACTTGCTGGGCAAGGGGTCCTCCTGCCTCCCCCAGCTCCTGGAGCTCAGGCGTCCCTTGACTTATGGCCACATCACCCAATCTCTGCCTGTTTCCGTGTGGCCTCCTTCCCTCTCTGTGTCTCTGTCTCAGTCTTTTTTCTTCTTAGAAGGACTGAAGGACCCACCCTAATGACCTCATTGTAACTAATTACATCCACAAAGACCCTGTTTCCTTATTTGGTCATGTTCATGGGTTGGGGGTGGTTAAGACATGAACGTGTATTTTATCAGCACCTCTATCAGTCCCCTCCTTTGCTGGCAACATCTTCAAGGGGCCGGCCGGAGTCTTTTCTTTTTGGTAGAGGCAGGGTCACACTATGTTGCCCAGGTTGGTCTCGACCTCCTGGGGTCTCGATGGATCCTCCCGCTTTGGCCTCCCAAAATGCTGAAATTATAGGCGTGAGCCAAAAATGCCCGGCCTTGACCAGAGTCTTAAGCAAATCATGTACACCTCCTGCCTCAAACCTAATCCCTGTTCAGGGTGGGGGACAAATGTATCCCCTTAAGGCTGGGGTCCACACAGAAAACTTTCAGACAAGAGAAGAGACAGGGCACTGGGAGGAGCTGGTCATCAGGGGACTCCAGGCCAGATGGGAGGGCCCTGGAGGCAGGGCTGGCCCCATGGCCTGGGTCTGCCTTTATGTAAACTCTTGCTAGTTTTGTTCATCGTGGAATTTCTTCTCCCTAAAATAGTGCTCTAAAACGTCACTCATCTTAATGAGGGCGTTTCAGGGGCCCGAGGCAGATGCCTCGCTTGCCATACGCTGCTCACAGCCCTAGAAACATCGTGGTTGGTAGCCACACACAGCCCCTCAACCCGTTAGCCCTAGAGCCCAGTATTGGGGATCGGAGCACACACTCTCACCTGCGCTTGAGTGTGGCTGGCACAGGCAGATTGCCAAGGCCAGCAGCATTTCCCTCCTGGCATCGGTGATAGCCAGGTCTGTATCACCCCTCCCCACCTCCCCCAGGGCAGTCTCTGCCTGCCTCATGCTGTCTCAGCCCCTCCTTCCAGCTGGGAGTGGGACAGCAGCCCCCCAAGGCATGGTCTGTGGGTACAAATGGCTCCAAGACCAGGAGTCACCCCCACCTGGGACCATTCTCGGGAGCTGACCAGATCCAGGCCTCCCCTGGGGAGAGTGTTGCAGATGCCACCAAGCCCAGTCAGCAGCTTCTGGGAGCCCCTCAGGAAGCAGCTGTATGAGAGAAACGAAGAGGGCTGCCCAGCCCCCGGTGCTGGGCTGCACCCCATTGATTCTACAGCCCGAGCCAGGCATGGTGACTCATGCCTGGGATCACAGCACCTTGGGAGGCCGAGGCAGGAAGATCACTTGAGCCCAGGAGTTTGGACTCAACCTGAGCAATATAGCAAGACCCCATCTCTACAAAAAATTTAAAAATTAGCCAAGTGTGGTAGTGCCTGTAGTCCCAGGTTTTCAGGAGACAGAGGCGGGAGGATCGCCTGAGCCTAGGAAGTTGAGGCTACCATGATCTGTGATTACGCCACTGTACTCCAGTCCGGGCAACATAACCAGACTCTGTCTCTTAAAAAAAATCAAAATTCTGCAGCCCTGAGAGCATCGGTTTGCCCTTGGGGACGTGATCAGCACGGCAGAGGCAGCGGCAGGCGCTCCCCTTCCCTGTCATTCCCCGTCCACCTGTGCCGATCCTGCCCACGTACCTGCCCTCCTTGTACACAGAGGATCCACACCATGACATGCACACAGGTGTGTTGCCACCATTCAAGCCACCGAAGCATTCGCCTTCTCTCCCCAGCTTTCCCCACGCCACAAGCCAGACACTGCTGGCCAAGTTCAAGCAGCAGCATGAGGACAACAAGTACTTCCTAGGCACCCCCGTCAAGGAGCCAGCTTTCATCATCCAGCACTTCGCGGGGAAGGTGAAGTACCAGATCAAGGTAGGTGGCCCCAGCACCACCTACGGAGGCCAGGAAGGCCAGTGGTGAGGACCCCAGGGCCCAGGCCCAGCCCCAAACCCTGGTTTCAACATCCAGGTCCCCGCAGACCCAGCCTGCTCTTGCGGTTGGAGTGGCCCTGTCCCTCCAGCCCCCAGTCTCCAGGGCCCCCCCCCCGAGTGATTGCCTCCATGCCCCTGCCAGGACTTCCGGGAGAAAAACATGGACTACATGCGACCTGACATCGTGGCCCTGCTGCGGGGCAGTGAAAGCTCCTATGTGCGTGAGCTCATCGGCATGGACCCCGTGGCTGTGTTCCGCTGGGCTGTGCTGCGGGCTGCCATCCGCGCCATGGCTGTGCTCCGGGAGGCCGGACGTCTGCGGGCCGAGAGGGCTGAGAAGGCTGTGGGTAGGAGCTGGGACATGAACCTTGCGAGTGTCACCATCCAAGGGGACAGCTAGAGTCTGGTTTTGTTCATTTGTTTGTTTTGGGGGGGGGTTGCGTCAGAATCTCCTGTGGCCCAGGCTGGAGTACAGGGGCACACTCATAGCCACTGCGGCCTTGATCTGCTGAGCTCAAGCAATCCTTCTGCTTCAGCCTCCCAAGTAGCTGTAACTGCAGGCACATGCCACCACGTCTGGCTCATTTTTTTAATTTATTGTAGAGACAAGGTCTCACCAAGTTGCCTGGCCTGGTCTCGAACCCACAGGCTCAGACAGTCCTCTCGCCTCTACCTCCCATAGTGCTCCAGCACCCGGCTCTCTTTCTATGCCTCTGCCTCTTTCTGTGTGTATCTCTATCTGTCTCTCCTTCTCTTCTCTGTGTGTCTTTCTTTTTTTTGAATCAGGATTTCATTTTGTTGCCCAGGCTGGAGTGCAGTGGCATGCTCACAACCACCACAGCCTCGACCGCTGGACTTAGGCTATCCTTCTATCTCAGTCTTCCAAGTAGCTGGAACCACAGGTGTGCACTACCAACCCACCCAGCTAGTTTTTTGGTTTCTTGTAGAGACATGGTCTCGCCAAGTTGCCAAGGCTGGTCTCAAGCCCCTGGATTCGGATAATCCTCTCACCTCCACCTCCCAAAGTGCTGGGATGACAGGTGTGAGTTACTGCATCCAGCTTGTTTTTTTTTTGTTTGTTTGTTTTGAGATGGGTTCTCACCATGATGCCCAGGCTGGTCTCGAACTTCTGGCCTCAAGTAACCCTCCCACCTTAGTCTCCCAAAGCGGTAGGATGACAGACGTGAGCCCCTGCACCTAGCCTGAGTTTGTCTTAAAGTGTTCTATTCGTTGGCATTTAGTATTTTCCTTTTTTTTTTTTTTTTTTTTTGAGTTAGAGTCTCACTCTGTCACCCAGACTGGAGTGCAGTGGTCGTTCCCGGCCACCGCAGCCTCAACCCACTGGGCTCCGGCGATCCTTCCACCTCAGCCTTCCAAGTAGCCGGAATTACAGGCTTGCGCTACCACGCCCGGCTGATTTTTTGATTTATTGTAGAGATGAGGTCTCGCTGCCCAGGCGGGTCTCGAACCCGTGGGCTTAGGCAATCCACTCACCTCAGCCTCCCGAAGGCGTGGGATTACAGGCTGAGCCACCGAGCCCGGCTCTGTTTTCCTTTGTTTTGCCGCCACCACCTCTGGCTAGTTCCAGAGTCACCTCATCACCCCTCATAGAAACCATACCTGCGTGTGTGGCTTACCTCCACCTGTTCTGATGGCAACTCCATCTGGCCACTTTTCTGCTAATGACGTCCCCTGGGAAGGTCCTAGTTATGATGTTGTAGCTCCTCCTGGTGTCCTGCAGCTTTTTTTTTTCCTTTTGAGGGACAGGGTCTCCCTCTGTCACCCAGTCTGGAGTGCAGTGGTGCAATCATAGCTTACTGTAGCGTCAAACTCCTGGGTTCAAATAATCCTCCTGCCTTAGTCTTCCAAGACAATGGAAATACAGGAGTGCGCCACTATGCCCTGCTAATTTTTAATTTTTTTGTAGAGATGAGGTCTCACTATGTTGCCTAGGCTGGTGTCAACCTTCTGGGCTCAAGCAATCTTCCTACCTCAGCCTCTAGAGTGTTGGGATTACAGGTGTGCGCCACCATGCCCGACCTCTCCTCTTGCCTGAATATCCCTCACCTAGATCATAGATCACAGCCTCGAGGGACATGTCTGTTTCCCTGTCCTGAATAGGGCCTTGGTTTGAGGCAGAGGCTCTGACCAGCCCCCCCAAGAACATGCTCCCCTAAGGAGTGCCTAACAGAATTGCTGGAGGATGATGGCACAGAGCTGTGTCCTGCCCTTCCTGGAGGGAGCCTGAGGCTCACACAGTGTGTGGCTTACGTGGATCTTGGGGCTCCCAGCTTCTGTCTGACACGTCAGCAGTGGGCTCCATCTTGCAAAGGGCGTGGCGGGAAGGCCTTTATGAGACACCAGTGGTGCCCTGTGTTGGGGCTTCACACCTCATGTCTCCCACACTGCCCAGCGTCGAGTTGTGAGCTGTATTTTAAAATGGCTCAAAGTAGGCCAGGCTTGGTGACTCAGTCTATAATCCCAGCACTGTGGGAGGCCAAGATGAGTGGATTATCTGAGCCTGCAGGTTCGAGACCAGTCAGCCCAGGCAACTTGGCGAGACCTCAGCTCTACAATAAATTCTTTAAAAGTTAGCTGGGCGTGGTAGTGCATACCTGTAGTTCCAGCTACTTGGAAGGCTGAGGTGGAAGGATCGCTGGAGCCCAGCAGGTTGACACTGGGGTGGCCATGAATATGCCACTGCACTCCAGCCTGAGTGACAGAATGAGACTCCAACTCAAAAAAAAAAGACTCAAGGCAAAGGCACGTCCTCTGCAGACATGGTCGGGACCACTGGGCTCCCGAGAGTCTCCTGCCACCACACGCTCCGTGTCCCAGCAGGTACGGGCAGCCCTGGCGCCCGAAGTCACCCGGGAGAGCCACCAAAGGGAGCTGGTACCCCGTCGGAGAAGCTTTACCGGTGAGCGAGACCGTGATTTGTGCACACCGCAGCCATTAGACATGGCGTTCTCTGAACACTCGGAAGCCCAGGCCCAGGCGAGGTTGCTCTGATGAGTCACTGAGTGACCACTTGGACCAAAAAAGTCCCCGATGCAGCCTGGGGCATCATCCACTCTGGGGAGATACAGGTGGCTAGGTTCACAGGGATCCTTTTCATGGCCCGGGGGGCACTGGCAGTGGAGCTTGGGGCCTGCCGGTCGTGTGGCATAACAGGCTCAGATGGCATGCTCCCTGGGCCCAACTGAGTGGCCGACAGTAGTTCCAAGTCATGTAATTCAAACATATCCATTGTTGCCTCTGAGCTGACATGGGTGTTTTGTGGACCCCACAATAACCAGGGACCCACGCCATACTGCCCGTGCACTGGCGCCAGGGTATGAAAGGGAGCAGGCCCATGGGGGAGGGAGGCCACGTGGACAGTGTCCCAGACAGTGACAAAGCCAGGGAAGGGATGTGTCTGGCAGGCCACACTGAGAAGGGACCGTGGAACTGTTCGGGGAAGCAGACGAATGGACCAGCAGCTCCCAGGAGCATGGCATACACAGAGGTCCTGGGGCAGCCTGGCTCTGCCTGTTTCCTCAAGACTTGCAAATTCCAGGAGAGTCCCTAAATTGTCAACTGTGAAAAAGTTCTAATTGTGTGCCCTTTGCAATGAAAACTTCTTTGGGACATAGAATGGATACGTGGAGGTAGAACCACACCCAGGTGAGTGACTGAACATGGCTTGTCTAGAAGCACAGCCTGCACTTTTCCTGCTCTAGAGAGATGGGTTTTAGAGTCAACTTCTTTACCCAGAAGGGGGCGAAAGAAAGGAGAATGCATCACTCAGTTTGCTTGTGTGAGGTTTTTAGGGGTTGTTTGTTTTAGAGACAGGGTCTTGCTCTGTCACCTAGGCTGGAGTGCTGTGGTGGCGTGATCACAGCTCACTGCAGCCTTGAACTCCTGACCTCACACAGTTCTCATGCCTCAGCCTCCCACAGTGCCGGGATTATAAGTGTGAGCCTTTGCACCTGTTCCTTTTTTTTTTTTTTGCCTTTTCCCTGAAAAGACCTAGTGTCCTCTGACCCGCATTACCTGAAGCTGCATCCATCACCCCAGGGCCTGCCCCCGCTGCCCAGGAGCATGTTAAGTTACTCAGCTTCTCCCTTCCAGCTGCTCAGTGCTAGATTTCTCACTTGATGGCTCTGAGGAGTTTGATATTAATGATTTTGAGGACATCATTACTTTCTATGAAAGCAGGAAATAAGTAGCAGCAGGGCCCAGGAGGCATGCTGAGGGGAGCATCTTCCTGAAGCACCAGCATAGCGTCCAGGACACAGAGAGCAGGGCCCAGCCATCAGGGGATGCAGGGGCCTGCGGGGATTCCTGCCAGGTTGCAGATTCAGCAGGTTGGTGGAGGTGGGCTGAAGCCAGGGGCCTCGCCCGGAGCCGGGCCAGTGCACTGACCACCTGAAAGTAGAGGTGGCATGTACCCCTCTGTTGTTGCTGTTGGGCCTCCCGGAGGGCAAGAGTGCAGGTAAGTGTGTCCACGCGGGCACTTGGTGTGGCGCAGAGCACAGGGCTACAGGTTGGGTCCTCCAGGCTACCTCCCCAGAGCTTAAACATGTATTTAACATGACTGCAATGACGAATGTTTACAAAGGCAAAGCAAGCCGGGCTCGGTGGCTAAGCCTATAATCCCGCGCCTTGGGCGGTGAGTGAATTGCCTAAGCCGGCGGGTTCAAGACCCGCCTAGGCAACTTGGCGAGACCTCAGCTCTACAATAAATTTTTAAAAATCAGCTGGGCGTGGTAGCGCACGCCTGTAGTTCCAGCTACTCGGAAGGCTGAGGCGGAAGGATCACCGGAGCCCAGCAGGTCGAGACTGTGGTGGCCGGGAGCGGCCACTGCACTCCAGTCTGGGCGACCGAGTGAGACTCCAACTCAAAAAAAAACAAAAAGGCAAAGCAGAACCTCATTTTCACTTTGTAAGACATTTATCACTTAGACATCCCTCACGAATATGCATCTACTGGCCGGGTGCAGGGTCTCTAGCCTGTGATCCCAGCACTTTCGGAGGCCGAGGCGGGAGGATCATTTGAGCCCAGGAGTTTAAGATCAGCCTAGGCAACGTAGTGATACCTCATCTCTCCAAAAAATGAAAAAGGAAAGAAAAAAATTTTTCAAAGCATCTGAGAGATTCTCATCCTCACAGACCAGTGCCAAAGTCTGAGCCTGTGATGTGTGCCCACTGCTACGCCCACAGCTGTGAGCAGAGTGGAGTAAGGTGGAGTGCTTTGGGGCAGCCATCGCCTTAAAGTAGGCTTCTCAACCTTGACACGAGGCTGGCTTACCCTCTGGGCTGGGGTGTGCTGGGCACTGTGGGATGTTGAGCAGCGTTCCTGGCCTCCACCCGCCAGATGCCAGGAGCACCCCTCAGCCATGTCCTCAGAAATATCCCCAACACTGTCCTCAGTTGAGAACTGCTGTGTGAAACCTTTGACTTGTGACAGAGTCATGGAGAGAGACTAATTTGCTTCTCTTACAGAGACCCTAGGGTCTTCTTTCCTGAGTAACCCCGACTGCTTTTGAAAGTTCACCAAAGGACCAGGTGCAGTGACTCACACCTATAATCCCAGCACTTAGGGAGGCCAAGGCGAGAGGATTGCTTGAGGCCAGGAGTTTGAAACCAGACTGGGCAACATATCAAGAGAACCATCTCAAAACAAACCAAAAAAGGGAGCAGTGGCTCACACCTGTAATCCCAGCACTTTGGGAGGCTGAGGTGGGAGGATTGTTTGAGCTCAGGAGTTAAAGATCAGCCCGGACAATATGGCGAGACTTTGTCTCAATAAATCAGAAAGATTAGCTGGGCACAGTGGTGCCTGAGTCCCAGCCACCTGGAAGGCTGAGGCAGAAGGATCGCCTGAGCCCAGCAGTCTAAGGCTGCAAACTACACTCTATCCTTGGTGACAGAGTGAGACTCTGACTTGAACGAAAAAATAAAACTCATGAAATTTTTAAAAAGTGAATAAATATATAAAGATCCCAAGGCAGGAGATATTTTTCAGTGGTCCAGTTGGAAAGAATCTATTGAAATTGAATGATTGGCCAGTCACGGAGGCTCACGTCCATCATCCAACACTTAGGGAGGTGGAGGCAAGATGATTGCCTGAGCCCGGGGGTTTGAGACCAGCCTGGATAACTTGGTGAGACCTTGTCTCTACAATAAATTTTTTAAAAAATTAGCTGGGCGTGGTGACACATGCCTGTAGTTCCAGCTACTTGGAAGGCTGAGGTGGAAGGATCACCTGAACCCAGTGGGTCGAAGCTGCAGTGGCTGTGAGCTTGCCACTACACTCTGGTCTGGGTGACAGAGGGAGACTCCAACTCAAAAAAGAAATGGAATGATTCAGTGGAAATGATCACTTGAGAACAATCAGATGCCAAGAGACAAAAGCGCTAGCCCCTCCAGGACTTGGAGAGGCAGTCTGGCTGTCCCCCTTCCTGACCAAGGAGGGAGCAGCAGCCCAGACCGTGAGCCTCTCGCTAGCGCCCTGTGTGTCTTGGCGCCGGCAGCCTGGGTCTCCCAAGGCAGCAGACCCACGGCTCTGACTCTGCCCTCTCTGTCACCCCCCCCAGCGACTTGCATAGCCAAATGATCAAGAGCATCAAAGGACTGCCCTGGCAGGGCGAGGACCCCCGTAGGCTCCTGCAGTCCCTTGGTCGACTCCAGAAGCCCCGTGCCTTCTTTCTGTGAGTCCCCAGCCCTCCCACAAGTGCACCAGCCGCCTCCCCCACTCCTGGCCACTAGAACCAGGGCCTGGGGCTTGGGGCTCCGGCCTCACCCCAGCCTGCTAAATGACCACCTTCACGCACACCTGCACCTGCCCCCCACCAGTGCACAGGCAGCTTCCCTGAGCGCTCCTTCCCCGGCATCCAGTTTACTGCCCCTGTGTGCTGTCCCTGGCCCCCTGCACGTGCAGCTTGCAGAGCAAAGCTTGCTCCCGCCTCTGCCACTGTGACTCCAGAGACGCCATCGAAGCAGGCATGCGATTTCTCATGCTGTGTGGACAGCTGTGTGGACCCGTCAGGGCCTAGACAGGGCTGGGATCCAGTGCCCTCCCGCTGGCTCGCCTGTGCTGACCCAGTATCTGCAGGCGGCAGCTCTGTCCACGGGGTGCCCAGAATCCCCACACCTGACCTTTTGGCGGCAGTGTTGAACTTTGTTTTTGTCGTGCCTCAGTTTACCCTGCAGGGGTTACACCCTCATGGGCCTGGTGTCCTACAGGTCTGCTCAGTCATCTTCAGAAGTCCCAGAGCTGTGTTTTTATTTATTTTCTCCTTGGTCCGCAAGGGCCATCCCCACCTTCCCTCGGCCAAGAGACCAGCTTTGGTTTTTTCCTTTCCACCCACAAGAGTCCAAAAGCACTCCCACCCAGGCCCCACTTTGGTTCTTCTGCAAGTCCCACCCTGCCAGAGGAGGGTTCCAGAAGGGGCTCTGTGGGCCTGCGTGGTGTCTGCTGACACACAGCAGAGCCAGGCAACCTGCTCGGCCTCGGGGCCTGACGCCCCACTCAGAGCATCCGGCCGCAAGTTAGGAGAGCAGCAGTGCCTCCATAGCTGGCTGATGCTGGCGGCTCCTCCTCTTCCCAGACGTCCCTTGGCCTCCAGATGGCCTGCGAGTGGCCCCCAACAGAGCCTGGCTGCTGCTGGCCAGGTGGCCAATGTGCGTGGTCACTGCGTGGGGTCCTTGGAGAGGTAGCAGCGGCCCGTTGCACTTCACCCTCCCTCTCAGTCTAACCGCGAGGCGTGGCTTGCTGAACTAACCCAGATCCAGACTCTGTGTTCCTTTTGTTCACAAAACCGTTTTTAATATTTTGACAGGAAAAGTAAAGGTATCAAACAAAAGCAGATCATTCCAAAGGTAAAAACTCCGCGCGACACGTTTAGAGCTGTCTTGCTTCTCTGCCATCTCGAGAGCTTTTGAACTTCCTCCATTCCTTCTTCTTTCCACTGTCTGCCTTTCCTCCAAAAAGCAAGATGTTCCCGTGCTGAAATGGTTCAGAGCTGTCTCTGGGTGGGCTTCCCAAAAGCAGGGTCTGAGACGGGGTCGTCTGTACAAGCGGGTGGAGGGGGCTTTTGGGAGAAGGGGGCATGGGTGTGGGACCCCGCGAGGATGTGGGCTCGGCAGAGCTGGGTCTTGGCCCGGTCCCACTGGAGCCCTGGGGGGTAAGAGTGCTCGAGGCTGAGAGGCCCTTCCGTCCACTCCCCCGGCTGCCAGTCCCGGTTGCAGGCCACCTCCAGAGGGCAGGATGGGACAGAAGCCCCTCAGGCCCTGTCTGGCTCCAGGTATGCATGCAAGGGGCTTGAGAAGTCTACACTAGAGTGAGACCCACTGCTCAGTGTGGTCAGAACTCTGTCGGGCAGGCCTGGTTCCCAGTGTCAGCTGATGACACTGGCGGCACTTGAGGAGATCCGCCTGGTGGCCTCGCAAGGAAGACAGCGAGGCGCTCCTCGGCTCAGTAATACGTCCCCTGGCGCGCTGTGCAGGGGCAGCCCTGGCCTCCCCCGGCCCCAGGGAGGAGGGAGTGGGTGGACACTCAGCTGAAAAGAGACGCTGCCATCGGCCGTCCTGGGCCACCATGTGCGCGCAGCCAGACCGAGCCTCGCCCCGGGGCATCGCCCTACCCTGCCTGAGGACAGCCGCAGTGCCTTCTAGCACCTGTGTGGGCTCTGCGAGCACAGGCAGACCCCACGCGTCTCTCCTAGAACCTGCTGGACTCCAAGTCCCTGAAGCTCATCGTCAGCATGACGCTGCATGACCGCACCACCAGGTCCCTGCTGCACCTGCACAAGAAGAAGAAGCCACCCAGCATCAGCGCCCAGTTCCAGGTAGGGCCGGGATGGGCAGCCGGGGCGTGAGCAACATGCTGACAGGCAGCTCATCCGCTGACCTGGGTGTCCGGTGCAACATGGCGAGCGTGGGTGCCTTCTCTGTGTGGAGGTCATGCTGTGCACCACAGGTATCCCTCATTCTCCATCCTGGACCCACAGGTGCCAGCACGCCCCGGCCGTGACCACCAGCTTGGCCCTGGGAGCAAAATCGCCCCTGGCTGGCTGAGAGCCACCGTGTTAGAAGAGCCACGGGTTGTCATGTCTGTTCATGTGACTCCTGTGTCCTTAGGTCATGTTTCCCTTTTTTCCCCCGGCTGCCAGGAAGCTCAGGGACACGTTTTGCTTGTCTTTTACCCTCACGGTTGGCTTTTTTGTTCTCTTCTCTTGAGTCTTCTGTTCCCACCTCAGCGTGGTAGCTACCTTGTGTGGGACTTCTACCATCCCCTTCAGAAACAGCAGGCCGGAGACCAAGAGCACTGCTCCCATGTCCTTTGTAGTCCGACGTGGGTTTTCAGTCTCCTGAAGGAACCTGTCTGTTCCTGCCCTGGCGCCACCTCCCACCGAGGCAAAAGTGGGGGCATGTGGACCCCCCCTTCCATAGAGGTCTTACTGCGGTGGCATGGCCACCCACGTCCCACCATCTGGGACCCCCATCAGCGTGGACCCACCCAGCCCCACCGGTGCGAGGGACGACCCCGGGCCCCTCCGGCGAGTAGGGGGCTCCTGGGGCCCCAGCTGACCGGAACGTTCTCACCCCCAGACATCCCTGAGCAAGCTCCTGGAGGCACTGGGGCAGGCAGAGCCTTTCTTCATCCGCTGCATCCGCTCCAACGCCGAGAAGGTGAGTGGCCCCATGAACCGGGGCCGCCACGGAGGGCGGGGGCTGGTGCCACAGCCAGTAGGGCCACGAGAGGCCTCGGGGAGCCAAGCAGCTGCCAAGGGGCCACGGTCAGCGGGGTGGCAGCTGACCCAGAGCAGCAAGGTGGAAGGGCCCAGAGGAGCACGGGAAGGGAGGGACAGGTCAGGGCACTCTTCAGGCACGTTCCAAGAGTACCCCGTGCAGAGAAGTTGGGGGCTGAGCTCGTGCAGCAGGCAGCATTCCAGAGGAGCGCACAGCCTCCTCCTATGGAAGCTTCTAGAAAGACTTGGAGCCTCGCTGCTGGGCTTCCTTTGCCAGAGGTCCACCCCATCCCTGGGAGGACAACTCAGGGACCGGACACATGGACACCTGAGCAGGAGACTCCTAGCAGCCATGTCTGGGGACAGAGCCTGTCAGCCCCTGCTCTGGGCACAGGCTGTGCCAGTCAGGGCCCTCTGTACGCTGCAGAGCATCAAGCAGTATCCCTGGCCTCCCCCTACCACGTCACAGCAGCTCTTCCTCGTCCTCTGCCCTCCCGCCTGTCCTCAGAGTAACACCATGCTCCATCCGTCACACGCTGCCTGCCAGGGTCAAGCCCAGCCCTGAGCTCTGGATTCTAGGCCACAGAGGCAGCCCCCCAGCTGGCCCTCTCTCCCTCCCGGCATCCCCCTCAGCCCCTCGGCCTCCTCCCTCTTCCTCCTCTGGCCTTCACCTGCTGCCACTGTCGTCCCCCCTCGTTCCATGAAGAGTGTCTGGGGCCAGGGAGGACAGTGCTCCAGGTGCCTCCAGCTGCCTCCAGCTGCCTCCAGCTGCCTCCAGCCTCTGCCGGGGGACACTCATGGGCCGGCACCGTGTGTGAGCCCCGACCACGTGCATGTCCAGAACCCCAGGGGACGGAGGTCGCGTGGCACCTGCCCCCGGGCCACAGCCCCGGGCACCACATGGGGCCGGGCCCCCTGACAGCACCCCTGGTTTCAGAAAGAGCTGTGCTTCGACGACGGGCTGGTGCTTCAGCAGCTGCGCTACACGGGGATGCTGGAGACCGTGCGCATCCGGAGGTCGGGCTACAGCGCCAAGTACACGTTCCAGGTGGGCCTCGGCGTGGGCACCATGAGCAGCAGGGCGATGGCGCCAGGGAGTCCTCCCAGAGGTGGTGGGTCCAGGTCGAACCTGGAGCACGAGCGTTCGGCCAGAAGGAGGGGCTTGAGACAGGTGCCTGGGGAGCCCTGCCCCTCCCTGGGCATCTCGTGGCCAGCGCTTCTGTGCTCGGCTCTCCTCTGCCAGCTGCCAGCAGGAGGGTCCGCTCCCATCTCCCACGAAGAAATGGGCCTGGGCAGGTGATGGCGTCAGAGATGACTCCCTGGGCTTTCCAGAAATATGAGGGCTGTTAGTAACCATTTTTTGTTTTGTTTTGTTTTGAGTTGAAGTCTCACTCGGTCGCCCAGACTGGAGTGCAGGGGCCGCTCCCGGCCACCACAGCCTCGACCCGCCGGGCTCCGGCGATCCTTCCGCCTCAGCCTTCCGAGTAGCCGGAATTACAGGCGTGCACTACCACGCCCGGCTGATGTTTTGACTTATTGTAGAGACGAGGTCTCGCTGCCCAGGCGGGTCTCGAACCCGCGGGCTCAGGCCGTCCACTCACCTCGGCCTCCCAAGGCGCGGGACGACAGGCTGGGCCGCCGAACCCGGCTTGTTAGGAACCTTTAGTTGGTGAAGGCAAAGGCCGGGCATGGGGCTCACACCCGAAATCCAGACACTTTGGGAGGCTGAGGGGAGGGTTGCTTGAGCGCAGGAGTTCAAGACGAGCCTGGACCACAGAGCAAGACCCTGTCTTTAAAAGAAACTACGAATGAAGACATGTTCCTCCAGCTGACCGGCAGCTCGTCCGCTGACCCGGTGTCCGGCGCGACATGGCGAGTGTGGTGCCTTCTCTGTGGGGACCATGCTGCGTGCCGTGGGTATCCCTCATTCTCCATCCTGGACCCACAGTGCCGGCTCGCCCCGGCCGTGACCACCAGCTTGGCCCTGGGAGCAAAATCACCCCTGGCTGGCTGAGAGCCACCGTGTCAGAAGAGCCACGGGTTGTCATGTCTGTTCATGTGACTCCTGTGTCCTTAGGTCATGTTTCCCTTTTTCTCCCAGCTGCCAGGAAGCTCGGGGACATGTTTTGCTTGTCTTTTGCCCTCACGGTTGGCTTTTTTGTTCTTTTCTCCTGAGTCTTCTGTTCCCACCTCAGCTTCTTGGAAGCTACCTCGTGTGGGAACTTCTACCAATCCCCTTCAGAAACAGCAGGCCAGAGACCAAGAGCACTGCTCCCATGCCCTGACGGGGGTCCCAGGTGGCGGGACACGGGTGGCCATGCCACCTCAGCAAGTCCTCTATGGAAGGGTGGGTCCCCATGGTCCCAGGGCCACCAGCCCCCGTTTTCCTCAGTTGGAGGTGGCGCCAGGGCAGGAACAGACAGATGCCTCCAGGAGACTGAAAACCCATGTCGGGCTGCAAGCGAGCCCAGCGAGCCCAGCCCTGAGGTGACCCCATCTCCCAGCCACCCCAGCTGACTGAAGGATCTAGCACAGCTGGGCACGGTGGCTCATGCCTATAATCCCAGCCCTTGGGGAGGCCAAGGTGAGAGGGTTATCTGAGCCCATGGGTTTGAGACCAGCCTGGGCAACTTGGTAAGACCTCATCTCTATAACAAATCAACAAAATGAGCCAAGTGTTGATAGCGCGCGCCTACAGTTCCAGCTACTTGGAAGGCTGAGGCAGAAGGACCACCTGAGCCCAGCAGGCCAAGGCTGCAGTGGCCATGAGTGTGCCACTGCACTCCAGCCTGGGCGACAGTGAGACTCTGACTCAAAAAGAAAGAAAGATCCAGCGCTCTGTCCTCCATGGTCTTTTGGAAGATTTAGACTATTTCCAAAGCTCCAAATTTTAGCTCTGTTAGGATCTTTCCCACCAAACTCAATTTCAGCTTCCCAGGAGATCGCCAGCCCTGTCTCCATGACATTCATGACACTGGTGGAGTCACTCACCCTGATTCTCCTTTCTTGACCAAAATCCCCCAGGATTTCACAGAGCAGTTCCAGGTGCTGCTGCCCAAGAACGCCCAGCCCTGCAGGGAGGTCATCGCCACCCTCCTGGAGAAGATGGACGTGGACAAACGCAGCTACCAGATTGGGAAGACCAAGGTCAGTGCTCCTTCCCCCCGGGGGGCTGCAAACCATGCCTGCCGGGGCACTGTACACAGAGTGCTCCCATATCCCTAATGCCCCAGGCACGTGCTGAAAACAAAGGGACCCTGCTGAGGAATGGGACCTGGCACTTGATCTTGTTCCGGAAGGCAGAGTCATGCACCTGGGGGTGCTGCCTGGTCACATCCCCCTGTTGCTCCTTGCAGGACTCAGTGACTCCGGTTCACCTCAGGTAGGAACGAGCTTGCTGACCTGCAGGGTTTAGGGCCTGGTCCGTCACCGTTACAGTGTCTGGCCAATGTCTTGCATTCTCCTTCCCTTTTCAGAATTCATCTGTGACCTCTGTGTTGGGCACCACTCAGCTGCCACGTTTGGCAAGTGCTGAGCTCAGCTCCAGTGAAGGCCTCACTTGGGGCAAAAAAAAACAAACAAAAAAAACCCTGCAGCCCCTTTGCAAGTCAATCATAGGGTCACCGTGTTACTCAGAAATTCTGCTCATGGTGTGTGCCCAAGAGAGCTGAAAACAGGTGCTCACGGGCTTGGCTTGGTGGCTCAGCCTGTAGTCCAGCACTTTGGGAAGCCAAGGCAAGTGGATTGCCTAAGCCTGCAGATTCGAGACCAACCCAGGCAGCTTGGCGAGACCTCGTCTCTACAATAAATAGAAAATTAGCTGGGCATGGTAGCACACACCTGTAGTTCCGGCTACTTGGAAGGCTGAAGCAGAAGGATCATCTGTGCCCAGCAGGTCAACGCTGGGGTAGCTGTGAACATGCTACTGCACTCCAGCCTGGGCAATGGAGTGAGACTCCAACTCAAAAAAAAAAAAAAAAAAAAAGACAAGAGGTACTCACACAACATGTGTACTCGCATGTCCACCAGTGGCTTTATTCACAACAGCCAGAAAGTAGACTCAACTCAGTGTCCCTCAGCGGAACAGATAAACACAAAGTGGCCCATCCATACAGTAGTATGTGACTCAGCCACAGAAGGAGTGAGGCACTGGCCTGGGCCACAACACAGATGAACCTCAAACATGACACTGAGTGAGAGAGGCCAGATGCAGAAGCCACGTCTGTGTGACGCCATTGATAGACACGTCCAGAGCAGGCAAATCCACAGAGATAGGAGGCAGATTTGTGGCCGTTGGGGATGGGGAGTGACTGCTGATGGGTCAGGGTCTCCTTTTGGGAGATGAGAATGTACTGGAACTAGATGGAGGTGGTAGTTGTACAACATTGTGAATGTGCTAAAAGCACCCGAGTTGTGCAGTTTAAAGGGGCTAATTGCATGTCATGTGGATTCCACCTCGGGGTTTCTTAAAGCCCCGATCTGTCAGCACCCTGCCACCTCACTCCTGGGGGTCGTGGGGGTACACTGACATGCTTCACACCCGCAGGTCTTCATGAAGGAGCCAGAGCGGCAGGCCCTACAGGAGACGCTGCACCGGGAAGTGGTGCGGAAGATCCTGTTCCTCCAGAGCTGGTTCCGGATGGCGCTGGAGCGCCGTCACTTCCTGCAGATGAAGCGGGCAGCTGTGGCCATCCAGGCCTGCTGGCGGTCCTACCGTGTCCGCAGGGCACTAGAGAGGGCGCAGGCAGCTGTGACCATCCAGGCCGCGTGGAGGGGCTTCCGCCAGTGGGCGCTCTACCAGCGCCGGAAACAGAGCATCGTCCGCCTGCAGAGCCTCTGCCGGGGGCACCTGCAGCGCAAGAGGTGAGTGGAGCCCGGGAACGTGCCAAAGCACTGCCCAGCGTACCACCTGCCCAGGACAGCTGTGGGGACAGCATTCTGGATGAAGGGAAGGGTTGGTGGGATACCAGATGTCAGGGCACGCGTGGGCCACACAGAGAAACTTTAGGCAGCGAGGGAGCCCTGCTGACCACTCTCCGCTCCCCTGGGACTTCTGCCCACCCTGGACCGGTCCGTGGAGCACCCGGATTCCGGGTTGGAGGAAGGACCACCAGACCAACCCAAAACAGGCTCCCTTTCCACACACATGGAGCCAAGCGTCCACTAGGCACCGCGACCCCAGGAGGACAGTAGCAGCACCTGCACAGTGCCAGCATCCAAGCCTCTGAGGCCAGCCCCTCCCCACCTGGCTCCATTGCCCTCCCTCTGCAGGCCCAGCCCTCTGTGCAAGTTGGGTCCCTGCTCCTGGGGCAGATGTCCCTCCCAGGCCCGCCCACTTGTGCAGAGGGCTCTTAGTAGGGAAGCCCTGCAGGGAGAGCTTCCAGGCCTCAAAGAGTTCAGGGGTTTCTCAGGAGGACCCACCTGCAACAGACCCAGCCGAGGGCCTCTTCCTGAGCAAGTGATTGCCGGCAGAGCTGGCAGGCGTGTCCATGACGGGCACCACCACTTTCCCCTCCTGGCTGAGGAATTCTGGCTTTCCAGAAGCATCTCCAAGGGCCGCTGGGAGTGGTGGAGCCGGCTTCGCCCGTCTGACCCACCAGCATCTCCAGCCGCCTTTGGAGATGCAGATGCTTGTTTCTGAGCCACTCTTCTGCTTTCCCTCACAGCTTCAGCCAGATGGTCTTGGAGAAGCAGAAAGCAGAGGAGGCAATGCGGGAAGCCCAGCAGGCCACGGAGGCACAGGCTGAGGGATCCAGGCCAGGCCAGGCAGCCAGCAGACTGCACGTGCCTGAGCAGGGCCCAAGGACATCGGAGGACAGTGGGTACTCAGTATCAGAGCCGGAGGAGCAGCCAGGCGACCAGTCTCCTGAAGGGCACCCCCCGCCTGAGGAGGAGGCGGCAGACCCGGAGAAGGCTCCTCCATCTCAGAAAACTGTGGTGGCCGAAAGTCCTGAGAAAACTCCCAGCAGCCGGGAGAAGCGCGAGTCCCGGCGGCAGAGAGGGCTGGAGCACGTGAAGTTCCAGAACAAACACATCCAGTCTTGCAGGGGAGAAGGCCTCGGAGAACTTTCCGAAAGGGCAACCCAGGAGCAAGGGGAGAGCCTCACAGAGGACAAAGAGAGCAGAGGGGATGCAACCTCTCTAAATGCAGAGCTGGAGAGTGAGAGTACAATGCACAAGCAGCCCATGGAGCAAGCCTCTGCCGTGGCGACCAGCATGGTCCCTGGGGAAACCAAGGAGGCACCCCAGGGAGGGGACCCTAGGCTCAGCCAGCTGGAGAGGCCTACTAGCCTGCCTCTGGACAGTAGAGTCAGCCCACCAGCCTCTGGCAGCACCCCAGAGAGCCCCAGGGACAAGGGCACCCTGTGCCGCAGCCCACGGGCCCAGGACAGGCCCGAGAGCCCTGGAGGCGCTGCCCAGATCCAGCGCTACCTGGACACCGAGCGGCTGGCCAATGCTGTGGAGCTATGGCGTGGCAAGAAACTGCTGGCTGCTGGCCCCAGTGCCATGCTGAGCCAGTCTCTGGACCTCAGTGAGAGGCACCGGGCCACGGGGGCCCTCACACCCACAGAGTAAGCTACACTTCCTCTGTCCCAGCCCAGGGTCCAGCCAGGTGGTCAGGGCCAAGGCCGCATGGTCCACACAGGGTATGTGGGAGCCCTGAGGCGGGAGGACCACGAGGTCAGGCCAGAGGCTCAAGGAACGGGAGCGCCCACCCACCACCCGGCGTGGGTGTGCAAGGGACCCTGGGCCTTGAGAGTCCCCAACAGGAGCTGTTCTTACACAGAAGCCCAGCCCTGTGGGAGGCAGTCCCTCAGGTCCAGGTCCCCCTCCTCAGCCTGCCTGGGCCTTGGTTTCCTCAGCAAGTTCCCAGGGCCTCACTCTGCTTACCCTTGGAGAGCCAAGCGTCGGCGACTCCATTCTCCAGACCCCTCCTCCAGAGGCCCAGGGGCTGGAGGAAGGATGAGTCATAGGAAGAGACAGGCCTTCTACTGCAGCTGGCCTTCTCAGTCTTAGCCCTGCTGATACTTGGAGCAATATCACCCTCTGCGGTAGGGGCTGTCCTATGTATTGTAGTCTGCTGAGCAGCGTCCCTGGCCCCCACCCACCAGATGCCATGAGCTTCGTAGATAAATGATGGAAGGATGGAAGGATGGATGGAAGGAGGGAAGAGAATGACAGATGGAAGACCGAGATGATGGATGGATGAGTAGAAGATAGAAATGAGTGGATGAATGGATGGATAAATGGATGAAGGATGGTGAGTGGAAGACCGAGATGATGGACTGGTGGGTGGATGATGGGATGGATGGGTGGGCGGAAGATAGAGAGGGATAGATGGAAGGAAGGAACATAAAGGTGACGGGTGCATGAGTAGAAGATAGAGATGATGGATGGATGGATGAACGGGTGGAAGATAAAGATGACGGGTGGGTGGGAAACACGGCTGAATGGAAGACATGACGGATGGACAGGTGGATGACGGACGGGCGAAGGCAGACAGAGATGATGGATGGGAGGAGAGAAGGAAGATTGAGGCGATGGGTGGACGGCAGACGGGTGAGTGGAAGACAGAGATGAATGGCTGGCCGGGAGACAAGAAGTGACGGATAGATGACGGATAGCTGGGTGGACGGTAGGGGTGATGGATGGACAGGTGGACGATAGAGTAGACTGATGGATGGAAGGAAGAAAAGACGGACGAGTGGAAGACAGATGGATGGATGGAGGGAGAGATGGGTAGATGATGGACGGGTGAGTGGAAGACAGAGGTGAGAGATGGGTGGATGGATAGGTGGGTGGGTGGGTGGTAGACAGAAATGGATGGATGGATGTGTGCATGGGTGGAGGGAAGACAGAGATAACGGACGGATGGGTGTATGGATAGGCAGAGTCTCTGGTGCCAAGGCAGGGTTTCTTGCTCTCTGCACTACCAGCACCTGGGGCTGGGTCACTCTCTGTGGTGGAGGCCATCTTAGGCACTGTGGGGTGTCAAGCAGCAACACCCACCCAAAGCCTCTGCCCACCTGATGCCAGAAGCATCAGTGTCACCAGTTGTGACAACCAGAAATGTCTCCGCCATTGCCCAGTATCCCCTGGGGGCAGGACCATGGTGAGAACTAGGAACCACTGCTCTGAGATGAGAATAGCCCTCACGCACCCCGGTTGGTAAAGGCTCCATTCTGTGATCTGCAGGGAGAGGCGCGTCTCCTTGTCCACAAGTGACGTCTCCAGGCTCCTCCCATCCCCCTCCAAGACCCAGGTAAGGTTGCAGTCGCTGTCCTCACCCCAGCCACCCAGCTTTGCCTGAAGGGGTGGGTAAGAGGTGACAGTAGTGGATTGGGCACAGGGACAGCAGGGACCCACTATCTCCGACCTGGCTACCCGCCTCTGCTCACCAAGCCCCTCCCTGCACTGTCTTCCCGCAGCCTAGGGCGGAATCCACTGATGGGGAGCCGGGTACCAAGAAGCCCGCAGTCCAGAAGAAGAAGTCAGGTGACGCATCCTCCAGTCCCGACGCAGGACTGTCCCTGGGCTCCCAGGCTGACTCCAGGTAAGTGTGGGACTAGGAGTCAAGCCCCAGAGGAAGTCTAAGTCCCTGCTGAGGTCTCCAAGTCTCTGCTGAGGAGTCAAGCCCCAGAGGAAGTCCAAGTCCCCTGCTGAGGCCTGGCCGCCTAGACCAGTCATGTCTGTGGAATGTGCCTGACAGGCAGTTCCAGCAGTAGTTCTGTGAGGAGTGGTCCCCATGTGGAGACCCTTCCCAAGGGTCCTGGCCACAGCCCATACCTGGACTTGCCCACGAAGCATGGGCTGCGACCTCAAGCACCAGGGTGACCTCATCACCGTGAGACAGTTCCCTTTGAAGCCCTAGGCCCTTTGGGTTACTTCCTGTGGATCCAAACACTAGTGATCTCCATTTGGCTTTTTATTAATTAAAACCAAATGCCCCCTACCCCGCCTCTGGGAAACCCCCTCCGGGATCCTCAGATAGAATAAACTAAGCCTAGGCTACTTCCCAGAAAGGGCCATGAAGCTGCCCCAGATGGTTTTTCTGCAGTAAGGAGAGTGGGTACAGGGCTGGGGGCTGAGGGAGGGACAGATGGACACGTCGGGGTGAGGGGACAGAGCCACTGCAGTCACCGAGTACCTCAGCCTGGGTGGCTTAAAATGACAGAGACATATTCTCTCACAGTCCTAGAATCCAGAGTCGACTCCTGTTGTGTCGGGGACACTCCCCCTGCAGAGGCTCCAGGTGGCCCATGGCCACGGCTGTGGCACTCCCAACCCTGCATCCATCTCCCCTGGCCCTCTCTTCCCTCCCGCCTCCGCTCATCTGTCTCTTAAGGACACTTGTCACTGGACTCAGGGCTGACCCGGATGACCCAGGGTGGTCCTATCCCAAAAGGCTTCACTGAGTCATTTTCCTAAGTAAGCTCGTGTTTGCCATGTATGTCCTGAGGTTAGCACCTGAACACACCTTTTTGGCGGTCACCATTCACCCCACAGTACTCAGTAGCCACAGTTCACAGTCTATTCTTCTCAACTTTTTTCTAATCTTGTGCCTGTAAAAACATCTGAGGGGGTGCAGAAATTCCTTTTTACTATTTTTTTAAATATGAAAATTAACTGGGTATGGTGGCTCGTGTGTAATTTCAGCAATTTGGGAGGCCGAGGCAGGATGATTACTTGGGCCCAGGAATTTGAAACCAGTCTGGACAACATAGCAAGACCCTGTCCCTACAAAAAAAATTTTTGTTAGTGGGGTGTGGTGGTGGGACCTGTAGTCCCAGCTACTTGCGAGGCTGAGGTGGAAGGACTGCCAGAGCCTAAGAGGTCAAGTCTGTGGTAAGCTGTGAGCATGCCACTGCATTCTAGCCTGGGTGACAGAGTGAGATCCCAACTCAAAAATAAAAAAGAAGCCGGGCATGGTGACTCACCCCTGTCATCCCAGCACTTTGGGAGGTGGAGACGAGAGGATTGCCTGAGCCCAGGGTTTCAAGACCAGCCTGGGCAACTTGGCGAGACCTCATCTCTACAACAAATCCAAAAATTAGCCAGGTGTTGTGACACACGCCTATAGTTCTGCCTACTCGGGAGGCTGAGGCATGAGGATCACCTGAGCCCAGCAGGTCGAGGCTGCAGTGGCCGTGAGCATGCCACTGCACTCCAGCCTGGGTGACAGAGTGAGATTCTGACTTTAAAAAAAAAAAAGCTGGGCTCGGTGGCTCAGCCTGTAATCCCAGTGCTTTGGGAGGCCGAGGTGAGTGGATTGCCTGAGCCTGCAGGTTCGAGACCCGCCTGGGCAACTTGTCGAGACCTCATCTCTACAATAAATAAAAAATTAGCCGGGTGTGGTAGCACGTGCCTGTAGTTCCAGCTACTTGGAAGACTGAGGTGGAAGGATCACCGGAGCCCAGCAGGTCGAGGTTGCAGTGGCCAGGAGTGGCCACTACACTCCAGTCTGGGTTACAGAGTGAGACTTCAACTCAAAAAAAAAAAAAATAGCCGGGCTTGGTGGCTCAGCATGTAATCCCGTGCCTTTGGGAGGCTGAGGTGAGTGGATGGCCTGAGCCCGCGGGTTCAAGACCCGCCTGGGCAACTTGGCGAGACCTCATCTCTCAATAAA